GCTCCTGGAGTATGAGAAAAACCTTTCCCTTGGGAGCAGGAGGTAAATGCTGGGCAGAAAGTGAGCATCATTATTAATTCACAATTATTTTGTAACTCACTCCTGAAATGCCAAACCTGCTTAAAGGCCTCTTCCTTTCCATCCCAATGATGTTGGGCTTTAGCTGTAGCCAAAACAACTAAAATTGGATGACAAACTGAAACATTCTTGTTTCCTGCATCATTTTCTTGTTTCCTGAATAACTTTAAGTCTGTAACAGTGTCAATTACATTCTTTAACAGTAAAATTATGCAGAAAGTTAATGTTGATTGAACTTTAAAGAAGAAATTTCTGTCACAAACCACATGAACAGAAGCCTACACCATGCAAATATTTACACACAGGAGTAAATCTCTTCTTCAAAGAGCTGCACTCACTCCTACAGCTGTCAACACGAACATCAAGGAGAGTATTACTCTTGATGAAGCATTTATCTCTGCATATAATACAGAAATCCACCTAACAGAAAAAGTTCAGCATTTTGATGGCATTTACTAGATAATTCCTCACCTAAACCCTGCACCAAGGAGTCCCCATCTGTGGTGTAAAGAACTATTTTATTTAATTTCAAATTCACCTTTTAACTGCACACACAGACCTAACCGTCTCCAATTTTTCCTCTGTACATATTACAAGCAAAAAGACACTGTGGAATGTTTCTGTCTTATCTGGATATTGTCATTTTACTGTCTCAAACTTCTAAAAACAAGCTTTTGGCTAGGGAGGAAATCAGTCAGCATCAGACCTAGTGGGGAAACCCTGCACTTGCTCAATGTCTGTGGCTCTTACATAGTTCCAGATGTTCAGAACATTAATAATGCACTAACTCAAAACCTCTTTTTGAAACTTTAGAATGTGCAAATTGCATTAAAACCTCTTTGCCCTCATTAATGGTATTGTTACAATCCCAGTACTCTGGAAAATGTTTTTTGGCATTTGTTTAACTTKGTGATATTGCCATTTACTCATTTTAACAGCCAGTGCTCAAATCTTAATGCTTTTAATAGGCTGGGCTAAATAGACTACCATCCTTTGGAAATTTATTGAAGTAATTTATTAAATAAGTAAAAGTTGTCTGAAGGCAGCATTGCTTTGTTTTATTGATGGCAGAAAACAAAATGGGTTTCTTATCATTTATTTACAAACCCGTGTTTCAGGAAAGTTTCAGTTGTTTTTTCAGAGTTCTATTCATTGTCTGTCACTCTAAAACACTTCTTGAAAAAAGAATTTCTACCARTCTCATGTATCTCAGTAAGAAAGGGTCTGTCTGAAACAAAGAAGAGCCAAACATTGAGAATTAATCAGGAAATTTTATCTGTCCCTCAGCCTGTCATATCAGAGGGTGGCACGTTTCCATCAGGCCAGGAGACAGCAGGGTTTAAATCCATGTGGACACAGCCAGAGGTTAAACTGAGGTCCCTCCTGTTGATTCTGAATAACTGAAGATTCTCAGTCTGTTTGAAAGCAGCTCCTCAGTGTCACAGAGTTAATTAATATCCCTAATTCCTGCTTGTCTGGAGCCCTGTGATGGTGCCAAGAATGGTTTGTCAGCACAAGAGCAAACAACACCTGCCTGTGACTCCAGCACAGGTTTGGTGCATCCCTTACCCAGCAAAAGGGAGCCAAGCAACAAAGAGAGGAACTCCAGCCCAAAGGGATTTGCTGTCACCCAATCCTGGCTGTTCCCACTCAAGAAAACATGAWCAGCAAGAGAAGAGAAAGGAAAAAGAGAAGGAAAATGAGATGAGACTGACACAGCTTGAACTCTGACCAAGCAGCTCTTAAAGTTATGACACACGTGAAAACTCAAATGAGAAATTCAGCATTTATTTCTGCAAGTGGCAAAAGTTGCTGCATATCATCCTATAATCCTACCCCTAAATTCTCAAGGAAAACAGCCAATGCAATCAGCATTAATTGGTTATATGCTAATTTAYGCTAATTGTGCCATCCTCCTAATTCACATGGCACAATTTATGATCTTGGAATAGTTTAGGCTGCAAGGAACCTTTAAATGTGATCAGGTCCAATCTCCCCACAACGAGCTTGGGTTCTCAAGCAGAGAATTCTTATCAGTTCACGTTTTCCTCTTGAAAACACTCATTCAAACCCTTTCCAGCAACAATTGTAAAAATTTTCCTTCCAAGTGGTGACTCATTAGCAGATCCAAATTAACCAGCAATGCCTCCAAGGAAAACACAACAAACCAAACCCACCGACATTAACATCATCATCCTATGCTTCTTTTGTAAAAAAATAAAAGCTACTAAGAAAGGTCAGTTAATTCATCATGATGGATTATCAGTAAAATTTATAAGCATTAGCATTTTTCTCCTTGCTGGATACCCTGACTTTGATATGACACATATTGAATGAATCATCCAAGATGCAGGCACCAGGCAAGATATATCTTAATGCAGACAGGTTGGCAACATGAGCCCTAATGGGCCTTATCTTAATCTTGTTTAAAAGCATCTTAGATTTCTGAGCAATCTTTTCACCTTCTGATATTCTCTTTTATAGAGTGCTTTTGCTGGAGTTGCTACTGATTTTCACATCAATGCATTTTTGTTGCATAGCATCACCAGTTTGAGGAGTCTTAAAAACGATGGAGGTTTGGAATTTAGTGAAYGCTAAGATTAAGCTGATTTTTTAAAAAGTCAGTGTACCACAGCTCCAATAATGACACTCAAAATTTCCACGTTGTTTGTAAATTATCCCACATGAACCATCACAGCTGTTCATAACAGACACCTATCAAATGTGGGGACATACAGCTGATGGGTTTTTTCCCACCCATATATTTTCCTCTTTTGCACTATTAACTCCAGATATTACTTGCCATGTATGTATTTTAAAGTCACTCTTCAATTAAAAATATATTTATTCAAATACCTGATTAAGATMTATGGAAATTTCTATACTATTGCTTTTTTCCCCATTCTAATAATTCCATACTAAAATCCAATGTACATGCCTAACTAAATTCCAGCTCCATTCAATTATCCAGATTGGAAGTATTTAAAATCCAGAGCATTGTCCTCAGCCTTCCAGATATAAAAAAACACCTTTATTTTTCACTTATTCCAAAGCTGAAATTTCAATTYATAAAACAGATTGAGCCATCAAAAAATCTGTTTAACTCATAACAGTGAGATCCATRTGTATTAATCAGATCCTGACAGCCTTGAAAAATTCTTTTGAAGGCTGCAGCTTTTTTAAGAGGCAGCAATTTCCTGTGAAAATCACTTTTGAAATGCAAATATTCTGTATGATGATGAAAGAAAAAKACCTTGTTTTCCCTGGACTAATATGCTTACATTATTCTGTGTTTTCAAGGTATTAATCTCAGACTTAAAGGCRACCCAATCCCAAATAAAAGTAGTAGAAAGAAAAAGGGCATCCATAGAAAAATATTGGCAATGTGATTTTAAAATATCATCCTTCAATTGTCTGCAATTTCTATTTATCAATACTTTGCTGGKCTCAGGGAAGTGTTCCCACAAAGAACAGAACATACTCAGTGTGTGGGGTGACCTTTCAGTGAGGCAGAAGGGCAGGGGAGGGGGAAGGCTGCCAGAGCTGTCCAGCAATTGTTTTCTTCCTTTATTAAATGTCATTACAAAGTCTCTCTCTGTACTTGCAATTCACATTACTATTCCCATAAAAACTTTCATAAATATTYGTCAGGTCTGGATATGGAAGACCAACTGTCCAACACGACACACTTGGAAAGATAACACTGGCAACTGAAATATGCTCCAGTTACATTCTTCAATAGATTGAATGGGAGATTTCTGGTCAGATCATTCCCTTTGCATGGAAGTGCAGAGTTTTGGGAGCTGGGTTAAATAAATTGATGGTCAGTAATCTGATTTTTTTCAGTGGCTTGCATTACCTGGTCTGATGTGTCACCTAATGGTTACTGTCAGGAATTGCACTGTGGTTCCCACTTCTAAAGACACCCAGGCAAGAAATAACCCTCCCTCTGCAGCCTGCTAGTTAAACAATAAAACATGAAGGGTTTCTAAAAGAAGAATGAATCGTTTTAATTTCATTTTGTAAAATATTCTGTTTAGGAACCTTAAGATGAGGATAGAAGTCTGAAATTCTATTTTCAACATGTTGCATTTTTGATCATTAGTCTAGGACTTCTTGGGATTTTTTGAGATTTTTGTTTTGTTTAGATGGTTTTTTTAAATCATAGATAATTATTTAAAAGTCATATCCTTGCAAGCATTAAAAGAAAAATCAGTATGAGTTACAGAATCATACTGCAGGTTTATATTCCTGTTCCTGACCATAAACAACAGCAAGAACAAATAGAGAAGAAAGCAGAACTAYGGGGAGATCCAGATTAACCATAATTAGATATCTGTTGTCAGTGAAATTAGATATTACATAGTTTGAAATGGAGAAATTTGATTCCTTTCAGCCAATGTCAGTGAGCAATTCCCCTGACTCAAGAAAAATACACTCCAATCTCCAATGCAGTGAAATGGAACAAGAAACAAGGGAAGGAGAAATTAACTGAATGAATTCTGCATTCTGGTAGCACAGAAAGAACATGCAAAAGGCATTCCTGCTGCTGAGTTATACAGAAAGTATCATTTCATTATGTGATTTTTGGTGTTTTTCTTAATAAATAATTTCTAAACCTTTAGGAAAACATAATTAAAATTATAATTATGGCTGTTTTTTTGGTAATGCTAATTGAAACAATTGTATTTATGAACACAGAAAAACCAAATATGGTTTGTTTTTTTTCTGCTGAGAAAAAACAAACATGTTTGCTCATGAAAACAACCCTGAATGTGAAGAAATATCAATATAATCTCTCTGTGATACGACATTTACTTGATAAACATTTTTATATGTTGATGTATAAAGCTGAGGATCCCACAGTGCATTTTCAAAGGGTTGTGCTTTCAGAGAGAGAATGCAAATTCAGATTTCCTTACCTTATAGGATGGCAAAAAGCACAGAACTCCTTGGCCAACTGTCTGACACACCGAGAGCAGGAGTGCTCCCACCTCATCCTGGAACTCAAAGGTCTCCGTGTGCTGGAATGTGGCACGCAACTTCCGCCCGTTGGGGCCCGCTCCGACCGTGCCAACCCAAACCTGGGGTGTTCCACATGGAAAAAGTGAATTCTAAAACAGGCTGGATAAATTCCATCAGGTTCAATAACAGCAYTTGAAGTATGAAAGAAATATTGAGATATTCCTTAACAAGTTCATTTCAGCACTTAAAGTACAGTAACTGGTATGAGAGTTATTACCAATATAGGATGATAAACTTTTTCAGGGAAATGTCTAAAAATTGCTTCTTTATTCATTTGAAAATGTCTTTTTCCATTGCATTAAACCAAGCAACAGTCTGGATCATTCTTTTAAGTGACAGAACAGATTTTTCATCACTTTGATTTGGTTTTTGTACCAYGGGCAGCATCAGAGCTCAAGAGAGGGAACAGCCATGCCCAATTTACCTGGGAATTCCGGATAATGTGATTCGCCTCCAGCTGAATGGAAAACTTCACACCAAGCTCTGAGGAAAAGGAATCCATGGGGGAAAGTGTGCCTGATGTCAGAACAATTGTTCTAACRTCATTTAACTCGGAAAAGGCCTAGGTGGGAGAAAGAAAAGCAGGAATTTAGAAAATCAATACAATCACTTTCAGATCTGATATTTATTTGTTATGACTCAGATTATTTGAGGCCTTTTTCACTCTCAGCTCACCACAGCAGGGTTCAAGCACCAAAAATTCAGCATGTGGACAAGGGTTTTCTGCCTTGAACTCTTTTTGTGCCTGCGCCTTGGGAAGAAGGAACTTGYATCTCCATCATCATGCTGGTTTTCAGTTACCCAAGTGTACGTTTGTTGCAAAGCAACCCTGTAATCATCTGCAAACCTATACAGAGAGAGAGAAATATCAGTAAAAACTACAATTAAGCAATSAAATTGTGAACATTAAACTTGTAAAAGTAAGACCTGACCTGTTTTTGTCTTTGAAGAGATAGTAAAACACCATGAACAAGCCTTTGAGCACTATCTGTGTCGCAGGGCTCACAACTGGCACCTCAATAACTTCCTCTCTCCCATGCGTGGATACTTTTTCTTCTTTTTCCAGGACAGCAGCAAGATGTTTCTGTGATAGGCAAATTCCATATTAACAACATTCTAAGTGTCTTCTCCAAATCAAAATTAACAGAGACAAGACTRTCAGCTCACTGCTTTAAAATTTCACCTAAAATACCTATAAAGTCAGAAGGAAAGGGACAAAGAAGGGCCAAGGGAAGGAGAACAATGAATTCGATTTTTAACAATGCTTTTAACATTTCTGGCTTACACAGAAAGGAGGGRTAAACTTGCAAACAGAGTAAAAACATTTCAACACTCCATAAAAATACAGCTGGATAGAACAGGCAAAACTATCACTGGCTCAATGGTTCAATTTAAATAATTGTTTGGGATCAATTGTGTCCTTCAAAACACTGATTCTCAACAAATTGCAGTAGCTCAAGGGGATTGCTCCTGGTTTTCATCAGGAATAATTTTCAGACAACTTTTCAGTATTGCAGTAAATTAAAAGATCTTTTGCATTTAACTTATGTGCATTTAAAGACGTTTAATAACCCCAATATTGTTGGTCTTGCACTATGATGCTCATTCACACAGCACACAACATTACCTGTAAAATGGGAAAATTAATCCCAGTTATTCCCATTTTGTGCAAGAAGTTGAGCATTTCTTTGCCACTCCACACCTTACAGGAAGTTTCATAGGCTCTCTCCACCAGCTGCCCAGAGCTCTCCTGCAACCAGCTGAAAGAGAAAAAYCAGCAATCATTGCAGCATTGATTTTAGAGATTTAGAGGTACTTTGCATGTACAMAGCAAACCTCAAAAATTGCACCAGACTTCTAAAATGAGAAATGTTTTATTACACATAAGTAGAGAGATTCTGCTTTTCCTTTGTGCATGTTGAACTCATACAGAACTCCTCTGGATGCAGCTCATTGAAGGGAGAAGAAAATTTCTCCCCATGTGTTTATACTTCATATAATATCTTTAAAATAAAGAGAAGGAATTAAAATATAATTTCTTCTTATGATACGTCAGGCTCTTTCAAGCAAGACTTCTGCTGCAGATTTAAAGCCACTCATCACTGCTCTAATTGATGCAGGTTGGTTTATCATCCCTGTCAACKGCTGACTTTCCAATTAAGAACAAATCCTGAGGCATGAAATGCACACTTTTAATATTTACACATGGAAGGGAAAGTGGGGCAATAAAAAGTGCACATTTAAACCTATCTACAGGTATTGGCAACTGCTGAAACTTGAAGGTGAAACAGAATTATAATTGTAATGCAGTGCAAAATGTGCTAGACTTGCTAAAAATAGGAGCTAAACATGGAGATGATCTCATTTGTGGCAGAGCTAAAATTTTCCTTCATCCCTGCAGTACCACAAGACCTTGTCTCTGTCTAGAAAAGCAGGCAGCTCCCTCCCTCCCTCCCTGGAAAGGCCGGAGCTGTCTGGTCCATCAAAAGGCAGGAGGCATCAAAAAGACAGCTGTCAGTGCTGCAACAGCTCAAAATATTTACCTGCAAAATCAGTTAATCATTATCAACTCAAGAGCGAGGCTCTGTGACTGTTTCAGTTCTAGATTTCCTGCCCTGTCACCGCAAATAATCTGATCCAAGGAACAATTAAAATAAAGCTTCCCTTCTGCCAGGTTAAATGCAAATAAAACCCCATCAATACTGCCACAACAATCACTTCTTTGGCTATAATTTGGTTTATCTCATTAASGAATGGTGATCACAAACACAGACAGAATTTGGCCCCAATTCCTAGAATGTAAYATCAAAAAGACCTGGAATCGAAATTAGGACAAGGCCCCTGTGACAGAAATTAAAGAGATTCACAATGGATAAAACACTTCAGGAAATGTCAAAGTTATATTTCCCTGTTATTAACTTCAAACACCCTCACATACTTTTGAAATAATAAATGCAAATACAAACCTAACACAATGGCCAAATATCACCAACACCACAGCCCAAATTCTCAAATAAATACCATCAAACATTAAAGCATTTACTTGCCAAGCCTGTTAAATGATTTTTAGAGCTAAGCAGGGAGCATAAATAAAATTARCTCAATTCCCAGAAAGGCATCTCTGGTTTTGAAGTGAAAATTGCTGTATGCAGTATTTCCAGGAAAAGAATGAATGGATGTTGCACACATGCCTTCAATTCCAGGAAGTSTATTTGCTGCTTCCCTCACTACCAGAAAATTCCACAGTTGACACAGCGTATTCCACTGGACAGAGTGATTTGTCCTGGTAAATGTGCATCTCATCAGCAGAGCCTGCCAGCACACCTCCATTGGTCTCTCTTCAAATTCCTCCCAAAGGTCACTGCAGAACCTCTGTGGCACTAAGCCCATCCTTAAGTGCTTTCTGGAATGAGGGCACAGGATCTTTAGAAGTGAAATAAGATTTTTTTCTAGCTACCCATGCATTTGGCAAAGCCATGTCACTGTGCAGAAGCATTTTACCTGTTACTGGCCATTTACACCCAGTCTTCTGCTTTCCAACAATTGCTTTTCATGCTGCTGGCAGATTTGCCAAGACAATCAACCTTAGTTTTCCTGATAAGGTTAAAAAGCTTSAGGCAATCAAATCTCCAGCCATGCTCTTCTTACCTTTTACTAAAATTTAACATTTGAAACAGCCAAGGTAGGAGAATTGGCTTCTGCCAAGCAGAAAAAGTCACTTGTCTCTGTGTGACACAAATATTAACTCGGAGAATAGAGGATGGGAGAATGAACTACTCCAGGGCTGCCCTGCAAAGTCCATTGTAGCAGCCACTAACGCAGCAAAATGAAGATATTGCACACACTGAAGCAGAATTCAGTTACCTACAAAGCCACTTGTAGCATTATTCACTTTTTTCCTGCTGACTTTGACACTTCACCCAAAAGACTTTGCGCTTGACCTCTTGTTTCTTCTGTCCATTTGCTTTTCTTCCATCCCTTCTCATGATTTTCAGCTTATGTCCAGGTCTTCCCTTTCCAAGAGAGAGGGCAAAACTGACAAATTCACTTTTAACTATAAAGAATTTGGTGGATTCCAATCTAAAAGTAATTTCAAAAAATATGAATTGATATAAAGTAATTGAAAATAAGTGCCTTACTTGATCAGGGAGCAGCAGACAGCTCGGAGGGGCTCATGATGCTGCTGCCTGATGTTGTTATTGACCATGAAATCGAGCTCCTCTCGGGCAGCTCTGAGCTGACCCTCAGTAACCTCGTAGCTCACGGACTCCCGAGCACAGTCCTCCATGTTATGAGCTTCATCCAAAATGACTACTTGGTCTTTGAGTTTAATGTCAATCTAAAAAAGAAAATTATTGTCTAGTAAATCAGAGTGAAAGRTGGGAGAAACAGCAACTGACAGGACCCTGTTAAAAAAATGCATATTCTGCATCACGGTGTAAATGAAACTTTTCCGGTTTCGAGCCAATTTCCATAATCTAGAAAATATTAAGGGGGGAAGAAACCCCAGAAGTTCTTTTTTTAGATAGTATTTTGGATAGAAATAGGATCTCAGTTGACCACAGAAACATAATATTCGGTGGGCAATATCTTTTTAACTTCAGTTCTTGCCATCTTTCTCCCCACCATACTTACACACTCCCGGATCTGTGGGTCCAGAAGATAATTGTAAGGACAAAACACAATGTCTGCCTCCACCATCAGCTCTCTGGCTCCAAAATAGGCACAGGCACGAAGCCGCCTGCCCAGGCTCACCAGATCTTCAATGTCCCAAGCTCGGTACACCCCCTGTGCAGACTGCAGGAGATGGTGCTCCCTGAGCTTATGAACACTGTGGTAATAAGARCAGGATTTGCCCTGAAAGCAAAGAAGTGCAGAGACTTGGTTTTCATTATTTCTTGTACCCACCAAGYAGGCTTAAATCCTCCAAATGTTCCATGCATTTGGCTAGTTCTTAAAAACGTTTCTAACAGCTACTTTCTCTGCCAGACAATAACAAAGAACGTATCATGGCAGGTAAATCCATGTTTCTGAAATGTATATCAATAAAGGATCCTGATTTCTTCTTCATCTGTAAACCCAAAGACAATTTAAGTCTCACCACAATATTAATCTGGCAGTCATAATTCTTTTTCCTGTCATCCTAAATTTTTGCAATATTGCTACYGTGTATTAACATTTTCTAACAATTAATATTAAATTTAACCAAATCACCAGGTGGCATTTAACCAACAGAATATAAAGAAGTAAAAAACATTCCTCATTCTAGCTGTTAAATATGACTGGGTTTAATGAACCCAGTTGGGGTTCTGGAACACAATTACTCACATGTTTCCCGTCCAGTAATTCCACACACAGTTCATTCCTGTTACTACTGTTGGATACCACTGGATGAATACAGGTATAGTCCCTGCTGGAAAGGATTGTCATGGGGACATAGGAATATGCTGTCCTCCTCAGCTCCCTGGTGATCTGGCTTATTTGCTTGTGTGTTCGTGTCCCAAAAAAAATTTTGGGAACACACAACCGATCTCCATTTTCTTTCTTCTTTGTGTGACTGGGATCTTTATCAGGTTCTTTCCCAGAAGAACAGGAACACTCAGTGCAACGGCCAGGAGGCTGCAAACCAAGACAAAAAAATTATTAACAAAATCCCACTGAGAGATGAAGGTGCTAAATCTGCTCATGTTCTGGTTGGAAAGTGCCCACTGGGATAGCTAGTTTAGTAACCAGGGCATCCATCAAATTAAAAAATTTAAAATTCTAAAGCACTGGAAAATCACTAAGAAAACCTCCTAGCAATCACAATTTTATCATAACTCAATCAGAAAGGACTATTAATCCATAGAATGTTTACACATGTGAACAATGCAAATAAAGCTTTAGCTCAGGACACTCCTCYTACAGAGGAAGACTCCAACACCTTCAATATGAAAACTTGGAACAGAGACTCAAAACAAACTTTTTCCTTAAAGCAAGCAGAAGAAACATAGATGGTTCAGGAACTCTGTGCACAGATAAAACAGACTACACCACACAYTCTCCATTAAAAACATGTTTGCAGTGCCATTCTGCCAAAGGCCATCAAGTAACCAGGAGAATAAAAGAAACACAGGGAATAATTCTAAACAGAACCTAATCCTGTAAGATATTTGTTAAAAGCCATTTCTTTTCTTCCAGAGAAGCACCATCTTTCATAACATTCAACACTGGAACAACTGACATGAAATTGTCATCATGGATTTGAAAAGACAGGCAGGAAAAAAGGAACCCATGCATAACCATGTTCAAACACACCTCCYATGAAAAATAAAGAGTGGCTCCAGTGTAAAAGAGTTTGTATTTGGGTTCCAGGGGGTAGTGCAGGTAACAACATGTAGCTGCCCACTGCAATACTCCTCCCTCCCTTTTAATTGTCTCAGTAAGATTATCCATTACAAACAAATGGTAAGTCATGCTGTGTGTTACACCACAATTCTGGGGATCAAGCTGTCTTTAGCTTCTACTCCAAGGAAAAGCAAGTTCGTGTTACCCTCAGCCCCACTCAGCCTTGTCTGCCATTAAATATTACAATACATGATAGAAAGCATGTAAATGTAACCCTCTGGAGCTGCCACTCACTGGGATAAAAGGTTCACTGATGTGCCAAATAAACAGGCCTCAAAGCAGATAAAGTTACACCCATGCTGGAATTGTTACATTCCCCTCTCAGGTTGCCAGTAACAGCAGATTTCATTACCCTGTGCTGCCACATTAAATAGCCAGTTCCAAATATCCTGCCTTCTATATTGAATAATTACTTATTCACTGAAAGGATAAAAAGAAGAGTTATGAATGGGGCTCTTGTCAACAGCCAAGCAGGAAACAGCTGACATATGGTATATGTTACATATGTGCAATGCCCAGCTCTGTGCTCACACAGAAAACTCCAGTGCAAATGGTGCCTTGATATTTCTATCAGTTATATTCTGCTTTGCTCCTGGAAATAATGAAAACCACRTTACCAAGCTAAAAATTAATATAACTGAAGTGGTGACTGTGTAGGGCCTTTAAGAACATGAAGATTTTTTAATTTTAATCTGAGTCAGATTGTATTTTCAGAGAGAAAAACAATACATAGGACGTTAAGGTGATCCTTCACTACTAATATTTCACTGCTATRCTAAGCCAAATAAAAATAATATCAGGCAGCTGTTTTGTAAGAGTTCTTAAAACAACAGGAAAATGCAGCTCAAATTAATATATATTAACATGAACAGAAGGTTCTTCTATCATGGGTTTAAAACACCAGATATTATTCTTTTCATAAAAAAGAAATAAAGTGTTCTTATGTGTAAGGCTAATAAATTACAGTATTTTACAGGTGGGCTTAAAAGTTTGGTTTAAGAGCTTTGGAATTGGTATAATACTGGCATTAAGAAGCACTTTAGTCATTATTCCCATACTAAAATGTTACCTTTAACTTTGAAAAAAGTTTTATGTTCAAAAAACACTCAAGCCCACAATATCAAGAAAGCTGTAAACTCAGGCCGATTTTATAGTAACCAGTTAAGAGTATAAAACTGCCTGCAGAAGTCACAGCATTTCTGAAAGCCACAGACACCATTAGCCCCAAATACATTCATAAATAAAATCTTTTCAGAAAATCCTTCATAATGAAGAAAAACTTCAGAAAATTGCTTAAAACACAGTTTGAAAGTTGAGTTCTTCACGTTGTTCGCACATTACTCACACTCATTACACATTGTGCACGTCAAGTCTGTCAATTTGCACTTGAATTCTTAAAATATATATTTTAATTTTATTAAAGGCATATTATTAARTTCTGTATTTCTCTAAGAAGAATTGACTGTGTCACATAGCAACACCTAAAGTGGTGTGTTCCTCTCCCATTACTACAGAAGSAAAGAAAACTCCACTGAACAAGGGGTTTCCTTGGCAGCATTGCCTCAAAGTACAAATTTTAACACCCATACCACAGAGATACTGGTTGAGCTGTAATAAAATTTTAAAATGTTTCAAAGTTTCTATGCAGGAATTCTGGTGGAGGCTGATTAGAAATAATTCATATTAAGAGAACAGAATTGTATTTCATAATACCCTCTGGCTTCAGAGCTAAACCTGTTTTCAACTGCTGGAATCTGAAAGAGGGATTTTCATTTGGAAGAGGGCAAAAAAAAGATAGTCCTGTACTTTCTGCAGTATTTAATCAGAAACATCCAGTAACAGATGCCATTAGARATCAGATATCAGCCTATATGGACCTTAGGCTAATGCAGCTTGTTTTTACTTCTGTCAGGGGTAGATAAAACAGCCTATCACATCAATATTTATATGGCAAAAACGTGGAAGTCCGATTAAAATAGGAATAATCAAGTCCACCACCCTGTCCTGTGTGTAAAATAGAGCTAAACAAACACTGAGGCTGTGATCTTTGAAACACAAAGAGGTAAGAGGAGTTCTTCGTATCTCCATCTACATTTCCCCGTTACAAAGCCACCTGAATGCTGCAGCAGTGAATGCCTCTTGTGTGAAATATCACACAAGCACAATCTAGGGAGATATCAGCAGTGACATTACCAGAGCTTTTCAACTGCTCCTTTGGAAGCTCAGAAAGCCCAGTATTCTGCTGCTGCTGCAGCCTCTTGATTAAAGCACACAAAGCAGCTGTTTATCCTCCCCCAGTCACCAGCAGGTGAACCCAGTTCAATATTTATCACAGGCTTTCACAGATCACTGCTAACCAAGCAAACGTTTTAATTAAGCTGGAACTTGCTTCAAAGAGCTCATTCAAAATGTCAATCAGCAGGAAAAGGATCAGATACGGTGTCAGGTGAGAGCATGTAATACAAATCCACAACTTTCTTCATCCCATCGTGGTAAATTAGCCCATTCTGGAGTCCAGACCCTGATTGTAACAGGCTGCCAGTCCCCTGGAATGTGTAACAGAAGTCACTCAAACCCCATTGTGCAGGTTGTAAGCAATATGTTAAACTGCAATGGGCTAGCACATTAAGACAGATTCTTTTCACAGTTGTTTTTTGATACCCCAAGTGTTTGTTACACTACTCTCCATTTACTGTTTACTTTCTTTCCCTGGTAGAAATGGGGATTCCTTAACCCAGCTGCCCCAGTTTCTCAGGCCATATGCTTTGACAGAAGTAATCATGAGAGTACCCTGAGGGTATAATTTCCCACTTAAACTCACACTGGAACTGCCCTCCCTTGCAGGAGTTAATAGCAGAGGGCCAGAGATGGATTCCCAGGCTCKGGAGTGAAAGCAGCTGAGCACAGTTTGGATTCTCACCCACACATCTGCAGGTTGAGATGCAGCAGTGCTGGGCAGCACCCCTCATSCTCCTACAACAACCACACCAATTCTCCCTCTTGGAGTACAAACAGGACTTGACAGGAAACTAAATGTGCTTTAAGCAGAGAATTGTAAAACACGGGTTATACAAAGGCAGGGTTACCTCAGTAATCAAATACTGTTATCCCATTATTGTATCATCCCATATACATTGTGGTAAGTGTTGAACATAGCCTCTGTTGAGTTATTTCCTAAGCTACACTAGAAAAAACATTTTTTCACCTAACAACCTGTGCTGTGATGCTCTTCCTGTTGTAAACYGAATGTAGTTAAAGCTCAGAACTACTAATAATAAACAAGGCCTTACTTTCTGCAATTGTTTCTTGATACCAGACAAGTTCTCAATGTGTTAAAGGAAAAGTTCATCTCAGCAAAGTAATAGCATATTCTTTCATTCTTAAAACGAAACTTTAAGAGAAATAACMCCCTTTCTTTCTTCTTAGGTTACTTTTTCTAAAGATGTAGCAGACAATATGTTTAGTTTTCTTCTACACAAAAAATTTCAAATAACATTTTTCATATACCCACATCAAAGTACCGAAGGAAATTTTACAACCAGGAAGGAAGGAAGGAAGGTCTTTTTTATTTGAAAATCAACAGCACACTCTGGTGGCGTCTGGATTTCAAACTACCAATTGAAGCTCGGTGGCAAAAAGCATTTTCATATCTTAGTGAAAAAAATCTACAGAGCTTTCCAAAACTAATAAAAACTACCTCCCACCAAATGACCTACAACACAGACTCACTTTTGCTAAGAAAATATTTAGCTTCCAGTGTCTTACAGTAATCCTATAGCTTTTGGTTTCCTTTGTGGTTACTACATCAYTAACATAACTTGGCATCCCACACTCAGCCCTACACAGCCACACATTTCTTCTCCTTGTTTTGCTCCAACAAACATCAATGTAAAATCTATTATTTTCAAAGAGTAAGAAAAGCAGAAAATGCCTAACAAATGCTGCAGAAAGAGCTGCAAATTTATATCTCAWCTTCTGATGTGATACTTCTGCTACAGAAGATGGTAATGAAAATCAAATTTGCATTGGGTGTAATGTAGCCAGAGGTGCAATGTTTGCTTAAAYTTCATTAAGCTGCATTTCATGCATAACCCATTCACATAAAATATTGTTTCAAATTGCTCTTATACTAACACTCCTGATGTAAAAGTATTCTGTATTACTTACTGTTTGCGGCGATAAAGTAGTGGTTTTCACGTCTTTTACAGAGTGAACCGTCAGCTCTCCATTTTTTCTCTGATTATAAACTTCTAAAGCATCAACTAACTGCACCCCTTTTGCATAGCACTGACGTTTTCTGACCTGCTGGGAAAAGAAACAATGTAAAAAKGCACTGGGCAGAGGGATGTGCTCACACTGGCAGTCATGGCTTTGTTTCAGCTGAGTTTGTTTYAGTATKGGCATCACTGCTTGTTAASAGYTTAMCCAAATCTAARCCACACAAAAGTCATTARGGAAAGCTATAAAGTTTTAATTATWAAAAAAATCTGTAGTTATTGCTGAGCTTTTCTGCTCTGCTTTCTCACTGTTACAAAACTCACAGAAATGACAATTCTATATGCTGAGCACATCCATAGCAAAAACATATAATCCAAGCCACATTGATGGAAAAAATAATATCTATATATATAAGCTATAAAAATCCGTAATTGGGATTTGAGAGTTTGGTTGAGCCATACTTGGATTATTTCACTGACAAAAATCTCTGCTCACCTGCTGCTCTGTTTCTAAAGGACGAATCCTTTTCCTGTCTACTTGAAAGTCATCATTTTCACTGTCACGAAGAGATAACTTTTTTTTGGCAGACAGCTTTGAAGCTAGTGTTTCACTCTCCTTACATTCTGTAATTAATAAAATGGATGTCCATTACTAGGGATGCAGTAAATAAGGGTAACATTTGAAAATATAATTACTACAGAATAGTAACTGATAGAATTACTATAAATATATAAGATGTAGGGAACAGTGTTCTAGACATGTTAGCCATCACACAGATTTTGTGCAGGGCAGAACTCGCAGTAACTCTGCTATTATTATGGGAGAGGAAAAAAACGCTGGCTTGAAAGTTACTTCCAGAACAGACTTTTAGCTGCCTATGTATGAAGTTACCTGTGTTTGTCAGTGGGCTTCCAGGTTTTCTGGAAGTTTCTGTCTCAGGATTATTAGCAGAACAAGGAGCACTGGGAGTACTACTCGTTGCAGCCTCGTTGCTCTTTGACTGGGAGTGACACTTGCAGCAGCATGGTGGGGATGGCTCTGCCTTCCTGTCCTCCTTCTCACACGATGAGGTTGGCACTGATTTCTCTGAAGGACAAAGTCATTTGTCTGTCAGTAAAACCACTCCAGACTCTACAGAAAGCCCCAGGTGCACAACAGTGAAGATGCAAGTTCAGATACCAGTTACAAGCCTGGTGTCTCTACATAGCTCTGAACAAGCTATGGTCACCCTCTGAAGAACTGCAGAACCACCTGCAGAAAGGAAAACACCTCCCTCTTCCCATTCAATCCACACAAACACAGCCCACAAGGATTTCCTTCCAAAGTTCCAACAGCCACATTCCCTTCTGGTAWYTAACTGCAGCTTAGCATTACTGCTTTATGCTGCCATCAAGGCAAGGTGGACAATGGTAGACAAAGACTGAAACCAAACGTTTAAAGGCTGATGAACAGCAACAATTAATTACTTTATATTTTGTAATAAAAATMATGCAGACACTAAGACACTTACCATACAATGATTGCTGCCATGATAATGCAGAACAAAGTAATGCCAAGCTTTTGCCACTTCCTGTAGGGCTCTCCAGCAAGCAGTGCTGCCTGTTATTTAAGCCTTTAACAATCTTTGAGGAGAATAAAAGAAGTGGAATCAACAGAAAACAAAGCAGATATCTTTAGCTAATCTTAGAAATAAGTTCCTAATGTCCAGCCTAAACTTTCCCTGACGCAGCTTAAGGCTGTGCCCTTTTGTCCTGYCACTGGTTAAAAYTATTYTWWAAAATGTAAATATAAATGTAATMATTAATTTTTAAAGCTCTCAAAAAAGTGAAAAATTACTGACATTACTATAAATAAATATTCTGATCAAATAGCAGATGTTTTACTGAATAATTCCCCTCCTAAAAACCTGAAYGTTTATATACAACTATTACAGTACACCTAGATAGACATCCATATATTTACACCACATGGAACTTGTTTCTTGGCAAAAATGCTCACAAATCCAAAATGCACTTCAGCAACCCCTAATCATGGTCCAGATATTGCACAGCACAGAGAACACTGAGTTGCTACAACTGGAATTCCCAAGACATGGAGGCCCTGAATTTAATGTGCCCATTTTCTAAATGCTGATAAAAGATTTTGGAATTCCAAATAYTGGAAAACACAAGTTTTTAGTCTGGTAAATGCCAGTTTAAATTCTACTCACAGCATTCATCATAGCAAGCTGGGAGGGGTAAGCCTTGCAGGGGAAGAGGATCTTCACCCCCCCAATTGTATATTCTGCCCCTTCAGAAGCCATTGCGAGTTTTTCCTCCCTTTTACTTCAGGTTTAAAACTGCAATTAAAACAAGTTTAAAACTGCAATTAAAATACAAAGTTAGAAACTCAACGCTTACAAACAGGCAAAGCCTGAAACAACACACAGCATTGAAAAAAAAAAAAACAAGGAGAAGCTGTTAACCTGGTAACAGCTCAGGATATTAAAAGAATTGGAATACAGGAATTTGTACCAGACATTATCATTTCAGACTTAGTCCTCATTACAAGCAAGAGCAAGTTGCCACCAGTTAATGAGTAATGGCAGCAATTTTAATAAAAACACGATGAACTGCACACACCAGTTCAGACTCCATTAGTCAGACTGCAGATAAAACTCAAATCCATGGGAGAGAAGTATTTCAGAATATTTAGTTGTAATTAATATTTCAGAATCTTTCTTTCGCAATCAATATGGTAATTAGTCAGGTAAAAAGAGGTATCATTCACTTTACTATTCTGTGATTATTACCTTGAATATTCTCTGTCTGGATAATACAAGACAGACAATTTCTTTATATTAAAAAGTTGAAATTACTGAATTAAAAATACTGAAGAGACATAAATGGYGTTAAGGGACTACATTTTGAAATAAGAAAGTGGGTTTTAAGCAGTGAGAAAGAAAGTAACTTTGGCAGACTCCCTGGGACAAATTAACTCACTGACAYATGCCCTCATAAACATATACATGAAAAAAACAATGTATGGCATGATTCGGCATCATCACCAAGTTCAACAGGAAAAAACAATTCGAGCAAAAGGAGATCGCTGACATGAGTTTACATCCAACCCCTCCTTCCCAAAGGAAAGGTCACCATATTTAAAAGGCTTTTAGCCAACCCATTCTGGGAGGGTTTAAACGAGCACTACTCCGAATTMAGTTTGCGCCTCAGGAGGAGGGAGGCCCCGGGACACCGCAGAGACCCTTCGCGGTGTGATCAGACACATCAAGAGCGCACCGGCCGCTCTCCCCACTGACATCTCGACCCGGGCAGAGCTGCTTTGCCTCTCCGCGGGTAGGCGGCGCTCAGAAAGCAGTGGGACCGCCCCAGCCCAGCCCACACAGCAGCACCTGGGCGCTCGTTTCCTTTCTGTGCTCGGTGAGGCGGCAGCGCCGGCAGCTGCTTCCCCCGCGCCCCTCACGGCCCCTCACGGCCCCACACCTGCGGCACCGCGGCCCCTCGCGCACGGCGTCCTTCCCGCCTCCGCCCCAGCCAATCAGCTGACAGGAAAGGGCCGGCGCGCCGCCAATCAGCAAAGCGCATACTGGGAAATTCCCGCCTTCAAGTGTGCGCATCGAGAGCCAATCATAGGGCGKCTTCTTAACTTCCGGGTGGCACGCGTTGCTAGGCAACCCCGCGCTTTGTGAAATAATCAAATATTTGTTGTAATTGGCCTTTATCATCATTACGAATAATATTATATTAATTATTATATTTATTTTATTATTATATTTATCTGGTTTTATGTTCCTTATGTTTTATAAGTATTGTGTATTATTTTTTGGCATCATTACCATTATTGTTATAATAATTATCATTCTTATTTTAAGGATGGAATCATATTTTTTGTAAAGTCAGTGGATTTTTAGTACCGCCACACACAGAAGCCCCAAGTCCTACTCTTGTCAGGTGTCTGTGCCCTCAGGTGTCTCCCTCAGGTGAAATTTGGGATGAATCCAGAAAACTTAAAATCAACACAGGCAACCCCCTTTGAATTTCAGTCATACTGTTGTTGGTTTTTTTATTTAAATACACTACAGCATATAAAATTACACTTGGAACTGAGGGGAAAAAAAATACATACATTTAGATTATTTACATAATTTACATTAAGATGACAAAAATACACTCGGTAGGCAGATGGTGATACGGGATGTTAGAGCCAGGAATCCTGGAACACAAACCCACGGGGATATGGGAATTCCATCCTTATATGCAAAAGAAAAACATACTCGAGGATGGAGCATGAAGGATTTGGCCTTGGAAATGCTTTGGCGTGGCTGAAACCTGTCATTCCTCTGTACAGTCACCCTCAGCATCCGTTTCTCTTTTAAATCTTATCCTGATGCCAACTCAAGATATCTCTGCGCTCATTTCTTCAAGTCTTTTTCATCTTTTTGAAGTGAAAAAATACTAAATCATCTGAGCCGCATTCTTTAAAAATCCCATTTATACAGYTCATTTTTACTATCAGCACGTTTTTTTCAAAGAAAATTTTAGACCAGCTCCAAACTTTCAGCGAAGGGTGGCTGATCTTTAAATCAAGCTCCTGATCTCATGAACTGAAACTTTGACCAATGGTTTGACACACAAACAAAAAAAAGGTAAAATATTTTCTTAGAACTCAGTATGATGGTATTGACACCATTTTTTCAAGTATTCCTTGGAGTACTTTTTTCCAGGTTGCTCTGCAAGGCTCTGGAGCAGCAGCTCAAGCAACTCAATCTCCAATTTTTCTCACCCATCATTTTGCTGTTTGTCCAACAAATTAAATATTCACTTTCCGGTGTTATAAAACCCTTCCAGGTGTGTTGCTGTGTCACTTCAGGAACTGAGTGATCCTAAAAGTCACTGTTTCCCTGGAAATTATTCACTGATCCCATCAGCCTCAGAAGGTTTCACTGGAAGCAACACAACCCCCTTGAAAGGATTTTCCTCTCAGCCGTGGCTGAATCATAAGAATGAAAAATGCAGACTTTTTGCTCCAGTTCCTCAGCCCACTTTCACAGCTTTCTCCAAATTTAGGCACCATAGACAGTGGAAAAATTCACAGTACAGCTTCCCTGGAGTTTTTCCTAAACTCCACTCACACTCATGTTAATGATGTCAATAATGGTGTTTTCCACGCACTGGCACAGCCGAACGTCAGGGTCMAGGCTCATGGTGTCCCTGGAACAGCTTTTGCTGGAGGAATCTTTACAAAGCCCTGAGAAATCGTGTGGCTTCTCCTTCAGCTGCTGGAGACCTAGAAATGAAAGCAGAAAAASCGAAGGGAACCTAAATAAGTGAGTATTGAGAATTGTGAGTATTGAGAATTATTTACAGCCATAACACGAGGATGTTATGAGATTGCAAAGCTGAGCCAGCACTAGTTCACACCCCAGGCTTCACCCCTCAGGTTATTTCTAGAGAAATCACAATATTTCTGTTTCCTCTCCCCATGTCTGACTCCTCTGGGGGGTTTTATGATGTCCTTGACTCACGGGTGATGATGGGGTCGAAGTCTCTTGTCTGCGTAGCGACATCAGAGGCACAAACTTGTCCTATCTGGATCAGCAGAGACATGATGTCCTCATAGAGGGGAGGGAAAGCTTGGCAGAAGGACACCAAACATGGCAGGGTGGGCATGAAAAACGTGTAACGCTTGGCCTGGGTCAGAACTGCCAACAAAGGAAACAGAGAAGTAAAAATAAATTATTATAAAATCCAATCAAGAACTGTTGGTGCATTTACAACAGCAATCACCAGGACAGTGGCACTCAGATAAAAGTGATGAGAAATGATCCTGGCTCCCAGAGCAGGGAGTTTTGGGGGTGTTGGGTGGTACCTGTGAGCAGGGTCCCCATCACATTGATGRCCAAGCGAGCCACGCTGAGGGATTTGGGCAGGGCATACTGGATACACAGGTAGGAAAGCAACTGGATGGCAAAGATCTGACAAGAGAAACAGGAGATGAGCAACAAAGCACCACACAATGTCCAACACAACCATGGGAAAAGCTGTTTAGGACTGGTTAAATATTCTAGTTTTAATATTGAGTGTTCCCTCATCAGCAGTAACTTAATAYTGAGAAAGGATTAAATAAAAGCAACTACAAAGTTGGTTCGATATAGAAACAGGGAATCTTCAGCCCAACAAATTTCAGTTATCTACAAAGCCAACCCCTTAATTTAAGGTAAAAATGCTACAAATATTGCTTTATTATCACAAGCAAGTTAGAACAGGATCTTTTCAGTGTTTTATTCTCTTCCCTTAGCCAACATTTCATCAGGGTTAACTCCCCACAGGGATTCTCCAGCCAGGTGACTGCACAGTACCTGTTTTTCAAGTTCAGGCTGGGCAATGAGCTCAGGAATGAAATCCAGACAGATGTGCATGGATGGGATCCCAGCCACTGTCAGTGCCAGRAGTTCACATGGATAACCCTGTGAGATTAACAAATGTGTCAACATGTCACAGGCATGTTTTTAAAATTCTGCTTCAATTAAGATTTTAAATTAAATCTGTGTTGTTTTTTCCAAAATGARTATATTTGTAATTCTCTTTTGTTCAGAGTTTGCAGCAGGCCTGCAATGCCAAGGCAGCAAGAGGCAGGCTGCATACAAACCCATGGTCTGAATCAGTTCTTTATCCTCAAAATTCAGTGAATTATTTACATGGAAAGTCTCCCTCCACTCCCCAGACCAGACTGCAGTGACCCTTTCCCTCCATGTCTTTCCCATGCTCCAAACTTCACCATCAGCCCCAACTTCCTCATTTCAAACTGCCCCTTAATGACATTTTTTATCACTTAATCAGTTCCGGGTCAAGGCAAATKAACTCCTTGTAAAGAGTCTGCCATCTGGCAAGGAGAAATTTAATATGCATTTAAAACACATTTATATTTTTTTAATTGCTAATCTTTCCCATTTTCTTTTTTTTTTTTGAAGGTGCACAGCTGCCTAGGCAGGGTCAACCTTTTTCCTTCCATTCTAAAGAGATAAACTGCACCCTAATAAAAAGATAAGGAGATGTTTACATTTGAATCCAAACTAGTTTTGAATAATGGTAATATTCATTAAGAAACATGGCCAGAAAAATGGAACCCACAAAAGATGTGGAACAAGTAATTAGAAGATGGTCAGGGCAGGTTTTTTTTGGCCTAGATGGATAAACTGAGAAAGGGCAGAGACACAAACAAAATAGGTGTTTGATGATGAGGAACAGAGTTTGGGTGCTCCCTTCTCACTGCAACWAGAGACCAAGCACTGAAATATGGAAGAAATATTTGTGAGCACTACAAACTGGGGGAGACAGGAATGAGAAAATTGGGTCACTGTCATTTCTGAGGCACATCCAGCAGCCCCTGAGCTCCACTCAGCTCCTTYCCAAGCTGACAAACCAAAGCAGAGCTAAAGCAGAACAAAGCAGACCTGGAAGTGCACGAGTTTGACAATGTTGGGGTCAGCAATGTACATCTGGTGCAGCAGGCAGCAGATGAGGCACTGCACCTCCCGAAGGTTGCACAGCAAACTGTCCTCTTCCTCSTCCTCCTTCTCCTCTTCCTCAGCMCCCGGGGGGCTYGGGGAGCYGGGGACATCCTTCACTAAATCCTGAGCACTGCTGCTCTGGCCCTTCTCTTCTTCTGTAGGTAAACAGATCTCCAGAAGGATCTGCACAGCAGCACTGTCCTGTGGAGAAAAGCCACAGAAGATGCAGTAAAAAATCCCAGTGAAATTTTAAACATCACATACAAAATAAGGAGAATTTAAGAAAGGGGAAGGTTGTGGTGTGATTAGGATTTCTACCTAGAGATTTTTTWAAATCTARAATGAAAATKRCTTGGCTCMAAYATCACRAATCCTGYAGACCATTAAAAAAACTTCATTAAAAAAACATTTTATCTCAATCAAGACTCATAGAAAAAAAGGTTAAATCCCATAGATTATCATAATCAMAGAGCAAAAGAGYAAATTCGGTGGAATCTCATATWGCTTCAAAATAAATATCCAGTGGTYCCTTAAAGCATCCAGAGAAKACAAAATATGCACAGGRCCATGTAATTCACAGGATTCAMARGGGACCACACTGCTCATTTAAATATAGAACTCCCTATTAACTCAAAAATCACATTATAATGGGAACTCTSTATGTGATATTCTTCCAGAGGGATGAAGAGACTGCCTGTGAAACAGGATTACTCAAGAATTTCCATCATGTCAAGCTAAGGAAGTGAAGCATCCTTCAGCCTCCCACTTTCCAGTGCTGGCTGCTTCTCTGAAACAACATCTTTCAGATGATCACACATAGGTCTGTCACATTTATTCAGCTTTTACTGCTCCAAATCCAAGCACAGAAAGAGCCTCTGGATCATAAAAGCAACAAGGCAAAAGGGCTGGTAAGCAGAACTCTTCTGTTCTAACAGAACAACCACTATCAAAGCAGAAAATCAGCA